TCCATCCATCCATCCATCCATCCATCCATCCATCCATCCATCATGTCTCTCCCATTAGAATGCAAGATACTTGAAGAAAAGAATTGGTCTGCTTGTCTTTGTATCCCCATGCTTGGCATAATGCCTGGTACATTACAGATCCTTAATAAACACTTGCTGATTGTCTGAATATGTAAAATCTTGTGGGAGGAAAAAAAATGGGCCCTAAAATTAGTTAAAATTTCTTTTAAGAATTCAAAAATGTTTTAAATTTAGTATTTCAATAACAAATTGTTTTTCTGATAAAATCTTACTAAATATAAGTTCCAAAATAGATACACAAGTTGAAAATAATCATTTTCAAAAGATATCAACTCCAAAATATGTAAAAGTCACACCTGCACGGGCAGTTTTGACTCTTAATATTACACATACCTTGACACTTTTCAAATCTTTTAAACTACTCTTCTGAGTTTAAAACTTTCTGTTGTAGAGCTTCAAACTAGTGGTGACACATAGTTTTGCTTTTTGTACAGCCAAAATTCAATAGGATTTCCTCTTGGATATTTTATACTTAAGAAACACTGCCACCAATTAAATGAAGGCCTCAGACATGGAGCCTCATGGTCTGAACACTAGGCACGTTTAACTGAAAGAGTATCATGTTTCCCCATTCAATTATCACCTTGTATCCGAATAAAAATCTTACCTGATTGCAGCAAAAGCACAAAGTTCCTATACCTTAGACTCACACTCAACTGGAACATCAGTAACTACTGATTCATTTGATTCTGGTTTCCAACACAGGTTTCAACTCACTGTGAATTGTTATTCTTCATACTTTATATTCTGAGTGCTAGTATTTTTCCAAGCAGCCGTTCTTCCACCGTTAGGTTTAACTGCTCTGGCCACATGTAAGCTTTCTCACTCAGTCATGTGGGACTGGCACTCAACTCAGGTGCAACTTGTACATAGTTTGGAGTTGATATCTTTTGAAAATGATTACTTTCAACTTGCATATTTTTATGTTGGGCCTTATATTTAGTAAAATTTTATCAGCAAACTAAGTTTTTATTGAAATACTAGATTTTAAAAGGTTTTTAAAATCTTAAAAGTAGTTTTGACTACTTTTGGGGACCATTTTTTCCTCCCACAAGATTACAGATAATCAGGCAATTAACAACTACTATGACTACTGAAAACTTTCCCATCTCCTGCCAGCACACTGTCTTTCTGTACTTGCTGATACTGGCAAGACAAAAAGGATCAGACTTTCAAAATTTACTTGAATGTTCTTAGCATAAATCCCTTTTGTATCTCTTTCCCAAGAAGAAGAGCATCTATCCATCCAACAATCTTTCCATCTTTTCCTCTTCACATGACAATTTTACTCTTAATCCCTTCCCCTTTACATTTAAATTTATTCTCAAATCAAACACTTTCACATAGAAGATTAAAAACAAGCCATTTTCTAAAAGACTTTATACTAAATTTATCAGACCACAGCTTTTAAAAACACATTTAAGCAATGTTTTAAAAACACAAATTGAAACTAGTTTCAGCAGAATGATTCCACATAGTAAACGATCAAATTGCAAAATCAGTCAAGGATTTTCTACCAAACACAAACTCCCTAATGACATCCCTGCATAACAAAATGTTTAAGTGAAAACATGGCATGAAAAGACAAACATCTCTCTCAAGTATAAGAAATGGGTTTTGATTCAGAGAATAAAAATTTAATAACCTGTTCAAAGAGGCCACACCTCAGAATCTAGAAGACCTGGGTTTGAGTTCTGCCTTTGACTCATCCTGGCTGTGTGACCTTGAGCAAGTAACTGAACCTCTCATTGAAACACTCTAGGACTATTAAGTCAGAGGATAAGTGCTGATCTACATGAGTAGAGGGTGTCATCTCACCCAAGAATTCATTATGCCAATGAGATCAAAGTCCAGACACAAAGACAAAAAAAGTCTCAAATCTCAATACATAATACAATTTTAAGGACATAACAATCAGACCTCAAAAAATTCTACAAATGACGTCAAAAAGTAAATGCAAACACAAAACACTATATGCTTTTAGAAAACAGAAACATGTTCTATAGCTAAGTCAACAATGAATAAATATTAAAATATCAAATACAATAGTCTGCATAACTGGATCAACTGGATACCTTGAATAGCATTTTGGTTTTAAAACTGAGAGGCAGAAGAGTATAATAAAACAGAAAGAGTATGAGTTCTAGGATCAAACCAAACTTCCCACACCTATTAGCTATGTGACAACAAGCAAGTCTGCGCCTCAGTTTCTTTCTCTATAAAGTGAGGGTCCTATCACCTGCCGGAACTATCTCACAGAGTTGTGAAAATCAGTTAAGATAATTTAAGTAAAAGTGCTTTGTAAACATAAATAGCAGTATACACATGTAAAATGTCACCTAATAAATAAAATATAAGGTATGGTTACCCAATTTTATGGAAAATTTCTAAAATTACCTCTTCATCATTAGGGTCGACTATCGTCTCATCATAAACTCTCTGGTTTTCAATGGTCTTGGGCACTGGTTTTGGTGGTGCCTAGGTATTAAAAAAAAAAAGTATTGATTTTCAAACATGAGATACACTTTACATGCACATTTTTGAAATACTGATTTTGAGGGTCAAGGCAATTTAAATATGAAAGCAGTCCCTAAAAGAAAAACCTTATTATAGCCATTACTTTTATTTTAATTCCTCACTAGACTAAGAAGCAAAATCCCCAAATAAGAAACATTGGCTTGTTTATGGTTGCATAACCTCTAGCAGAATTATTAACAAAAATAAAAATGTTCAAAACTTGGCAGCAAGTTTGGACAAGAAACTAAGTTGGGATTCGGATAACTAATCACCAGTAAGATAAAACAAAAGGCAAGAGAAAGGAAGAAAATTTTGTGTTAACCAACATCACTGATAAAAGTTTACTATAAGAAATAGATGAACAAGTAAAACAGATATGTAGACAACAACCAGATTCCAGTGGATTTGTAATCACAGGCTCACTTATAGAGTAACTAGTCACTTAGCCTCCTCAGGGCTCAGTCTATCATCTGTAAAACGAGATTTGACACTTCCAAAAGCACTTCCAAATCTCAAATCATACTATAAAGTAAAAATTCTCAAAACTATCTGATGATGATTAAAACTAGACAAGGAGGAAACAGAAATTAACTGATCTCAATAACCAAATGTTTAAAGAAACCTGAAAATGAAAATTGCTTGGGAGAGCTCTCCCTGTAAGAACTGTAAGGAAAATGGAAAAGTAGAATTTGGCAGAAATTAGGTTTATACTAGTATCTTAAGCTATACACCACAATAAATTCAAAATGAATATGCAACCTGAATATAACAAGTCAATACCACAGGATGATTAAAAGAGAACCATATCATGAATCTTTTACAAATATGGCTGGTGGAAGGTTGTTAACTAAACAAAATATAAAATAAGTAATTCTGATTACATGAAATGGAAAAGATTTTACAAGAACACTATCAATGCTACTAGAGTAAACAGAAGCCATACACTGGGAAAAATGTTCTGCATCAAATATTTTTGATAAGTGTTTGATATCTAAGATCAATAAGGAAATAATAAATAGTATGATACCAAAAGCCATTCCCTAATGGGTAAGT